ACACTTAACCCCACTTTGCCTGAAACCCCCGCTGGAAGATCAAGGCTCCTGTAGACTCACCACCTGCAGGAGGATCAGTGAGGGGCTGGTACTAAGTGTACTGGGTGCAGCTCTGACTGCCACCCCCCTGACCCAGAAATGGATTAAGAGGAAGAAAATGGATGGATGGATGGTTTGACGATTAAAAGCACCTATTTTTGCGGAATGCTCTTGCCCATACCTACGAAGTATTGAATCCCGGGTCACTGCCGGGCATGGGACTTTTGCATGGGCTCCGCCTGCCAACTTTTGGCACTCAGGCCTTAATAAAATCCAAATATATAATTGCATTCATGTTGCATATAGATTGTTCTTAGTACACATGCTTCTGAATATATCCTAATTTGTACTGGCATTACAGCTATGAGCACTCACAAATATGGGCCCCAAAAATGTCATTCATTCGATGTAAAGCACATCTCCTATCCTCTTGGGTGGATGGGAAACAGAAAACACAGCTTCAGGCCATGGCTCCATAGAAGTGACAACTCACTGACAGCGGATTCAAACAGGAGCAAACCTAGCAACAGGTCCAAACATCTCACACAGGACTTTATCCCATTCATTCACAACACTCTGAGAGAAAATCCTCACTTAGGGTTCTCAAGCCCATCAAAGTTAGTGGTGATTGAATGACCAGCCGTAAAGACAATACAATACAGCCAATAGTAAGTGTTATGGTTGTTTGACATGCTGAGACTTTTACAGTGTCAGTGAAGGGGCCATGGGGAAAGAGTCCGTCACTTCACCAGAGTTTTGTGTTACTGATCTAACTGTGAGAAAACCACAGTCTTTAAGGACCTACTTAAGAAACAATGCAGACATTATTGGACTGTATGTTGAAATACACACGAGGGCATCTCAAGTCTGTTTGGTAAATATTGGGTTTTGTTGCTAGAACGCTTCCCTCGCAGAGAGAAGTTTGGTAAAATCTTTCATTGCTCCATTGACGCACAACAAGAAATACAAAACCAGAAATGCAAGTAGAAATAGTGAGAAATAGTAGTGTATCTGTATTAGGGCTGGGCGATTAATCGATTTTAATCATTAATTCGAGTTTTACGTTTAGGGCGATTTCTTTTTTTAAAAATTCGATTTTTATTTTCTCCAGCGCAGAACTACAGCGCTAACGCGCTAACCGCGGGTCTATGGTGTTGAGCAGTCATTTTGAAGCTAACCTAATGCTAACAGTCTCCCTCTGGCCTGATGCTCGCTCTCACAGTTGGTGCTGTTGCAATAACACTTCAAACGTTCAAGAATCAGACTTTATTTAAATCGCCAAAACACACACACACAGGCTCCGGTCGTACGCCACATCTTTCACGCTCTCTCACGCTCGTTATTCCAAAGCGCACTCCCGTGTCCGTGGCGCGCACACACTCGTGTCCCACTGAGCCGCTGCACTTTGGGGAAAGACACGCCTCACACATTGCTCTCATTGCTCTGATACAAACAACGTGTTCCCCGCTGTCTGCTAGCTACAGTAGCTGCTACAGTAGCTGTTAGCTACAGCATCAGAATGTAAACAGGAAGCTCGCACAATGCGGGAGTCACTGAAGTTAGTATTAGCGCCACCAGCTGGACCGAGCGTTGTACTACAGCACAGTTACTCAGGCACAGTTGAAAGAACAAGCATGAAAACCCGAGGAGGCTTTTGGAAAAGACTGTCTGTTACAACATTTCTATTTTGAGTAATCAGTTTTAAAAATGTGATATTTCATGTAAATAATGCATGTGTTTAATAGGATTGATATATTTGCGATGGGCCTTGTTTGTGTGATTTAAGTTATTTTGAAGGTGCATAGTGTCATTGTAAGTGAAGTTATTATAAAACTGTTAAGCTACATTTTCACTGTTTACAATGGCAGAGCCATCTCGTTTACAAGCATGTTTTAAGGCTTAATTCCTGTTACACTTATGCTCCATGGGGATTTAGATTAAACTGCATAAAGGAAAATCTATTTCTTTGTCAGTTGTAGTTTGTTTTTAAATAGAAAAAAATAAATCGATTAAAATCGAAAATCGGATTTGGTGTGAAAAAATCGGAGATTTTTTTTTTTTGCCATATCGCCCAGCCCTAATCTGTATTAGTTGTATTTGTTGTATTTTGACACAAAGCCATCTATGTTTGTTGTCTTACTGTCATAAGATTGGGGTAGGGGTTTAAATAAGACTTGGTCTTCATCCTACGAATAAATGAATGAATGAATGAAAGTATTGCTTTTCAAATATTTGTATTACAGTATATATATATATATATATATATATATATATATATATATATATATATATATATATATATATATGTATATATATATACACTTTTACCTTTAACACTTTCTTTACTCAAGAAGCTGTTTGTACAGAACAGAGCATTCTCTGTCAAAGCTAAAAGATGAATTGGAGTTATTTGGCAGCTGCTTTGGTCTTCTATGAACTGGCTGTCCGCAGTCTATTTGTTATCTAGGGCATAGTCAAAACCACAACACTCACTTTGTCATTGTGAAAACCTATAACTACGTTCTCATAAATGTTAAGTCCAGATGAGCGATAGTGTCCTAAAGCCAATATCTGTCTACACCTTCCACACTGGCAGGTGCAACAAAAACTTTCCCTAATATTATGAAATACACACATTCCACAAAACAAAAATATTACGAGAAGTCGCACTTTGACAATTTTTACAACTACCTTTGAATTCCCTTTCATTCTTATTTTTGATTTACAAAAAACCTGCGTGAGTAAATTATATTTCCTTATAGGTAAGAGGCCTATAACATTATCCTAATTATTTTCAATCCTTTACAAGGTCTAGGAGGGTGCGTGATTGTGGCGCCTTGTAAGCATTACTGTGTCAATAGACACACCATATAACATAATCCTAACCCGTTTTCCACGTGCCTTTCCTGTGTTGTCTATTAGGTTGATTTGAACACCTGCTTATTGAATTCTGCACATTTTCTTGTTTGTCTGTTTGTCTTGTTGCATTTGGCCTGTGGATAATCAAGTGCATGAGATGAGGAGCTAAAACAACAACATCCAAAGACTGAAGAACCTTTAAGTGCAACAGAATCTTATAAACATTCTCACATGCTCCAGACTTTATTCACCTGAAGCCCATATGTTTTTTTAATACCACTACCAACTACAGATTTAATCTTTGCATTTATTCAATAATTGTTCTCCAACATAAAGCCCCTTTAAGGAATGGATTCTGATCAGATTAATTTTTCTCCATTCATCTCTTGTTCTACTCAAAAAAGTTTCTGCCTGATGCCAACAGAGAGGTAAGAATTTAGGTGAAGGTGAAATAATATTTCAGGATTGTTTGTTTAAAATTGTAATGATTAACGAGAGTAGAAAAGTAAATAGACTACACAACTCATCATTCATTAAGTAAAAACATATACAGTACAGCCCAAAAGTTTGGACACACCTTCTCATTCAAAGAGTTCTTTATTTGTACGACTATGAAAATTGTAGATTATTATTAGATTTATGTACAGAATATTCTAGTCTTATATTCTAGGTTCTTCTTCTTGCTCTGATTACTGCTTCGCACACTTGGTGTTCTCTTTATGAGTTTCAAGAGGTAGTGACCTGAAATGGTCTTCCAACAGTCTTGACGGAGTTCCCAGAGATGCTTAGCACTTGTTGGCCCTTTTGCCTTCACTCTGTGGTCCAGCTCACCCCAAAACCATCTGGATTGGGTTCAGGTCCGGTGACTGTGGAGGCCAAGTCTGGCCCAGCACCCACCACTCTCCTTATTGGTCAAATAGCCCTTACACAGCCTGGGTGTTAATCTACAGTCATTAGTCATGAGAAGAAAGGAAACTCATTGAGAAAGTGTGTCCAAACCTTTGTTCTGTACTGTATGTATCAACCATAGACTGGAATTAGACCTTGACTTAGTGCCTTTTGCACCTTTCCCTTTCATTGAAAAGGGTAAATTCTACAATTGTTTGCGCCACACTCGTCATTCTTGACCCTATTCCCGTCAATATCGAGGCTTCCAAAATGTCCTTAACTAATGGACACAATCACTGTTTATTTGCTGAATCAAATCCACCTGGCACTTTATAACCAAAATCAGATGAACGTCCAAGCTCCTGATCTCAGCAGAAACAAGTAGGAACAGTTCTGTGGAAGTGCTCATATTCTGAACTGTTTTTAACAATTCAAAGATGGATTTAAACATGTGTCTTTCAGGACTCAAAAACAATGGTTTCTTTCCTCAGTGAAAATACCGAAAGCAATTTGTCCTACACATATTCCTTCATTTAAATGGGTTGAGAATAACAAAATGTATTCCTGGAAAGTCCTGGAAATTTGTTGTACATATGGAAAACATTATTAAGGTAATGCACTGCGCTCAAGTCTCAAATATTTGATTTCTTCCCATTTACTGTCAAACATTACAAACTACACCTTCGATGGATTTCCTGTTATTACATGGGTTTTATTGTGCTGTTTTTAAAACGTCATGTGTCTTCTACAATTAATGTGAAGCATAGCAGAGACAAGCTAAAGTTATACAAGAGAATTACACTGGTTCAATATTGTTACAAAATGAAATGAATTTGAAAGATTAACTACAGATATGTAGTTCATCAAGGTTAAGGTTATGGTACACTTTATTTATCTCCATAGGGCAATTTATCCTCTGCATTTAACCCATCCTGCAAGAGGAGAACATGCAAACTTCAAACACCTTCTTATTGAGAGGCGAGAATGCTAACTACTGTGCCATTGTGATAATGTCGATAATACAGGTAAAATTGCAATATATTGTGTGAAAGTATATTTTATGAATGAATGAATATTTTCTTTGTTTAAATCATAATTAAAAAGTATGAAATTTATTTGTATTTCAGAAAATCTATATCAGGCTGTTTTTTATGTTGAAATGGAATGACCTCATGTTTTCAATTGGGTGAGTGTGAGAGTGCAGGGTACAGTGCATGGCGTACGGTCAGCTGCTGGCCGGACCACGCTGCATGACTGATGGGGAACAGAGGCACTGGCACAAGGCTCTACTGCTGCTCCCAGAGGTGCCGCCGCTCTGCCAAGACAGCGTACACTCTTCACATTCCTGCTAAAGTGATAGGGCTTGAGTATGTTTTCATGTAGAAAACACAATTGCCTGGACGGCCAGTACTGCATGCTTATATATGCATATAATACTGTGTAAATATATATATATTCTGTGTATTCATATATATTCTACAATTTCTTAGTGCGAGTCGGACAGGTGGATTACTTGGAGAAACACAAATGTCCACTCATGTCATAATTAATGTAGCAGCGTAAGAGTATGAATAAAGAAAAAGACAAAGTGATGTCTGCGGAATCAATAAGCGGTGCACTAAACTCTGAGAATGTATACTTGAAATGTTACAAGGATTTTAAAGAAGAGACTTAATTTGAAAACTATTCTTGACAAGCTGAAGGCTATGAATGGATCGATTATTTACTGGTCCTCACTCATCTATATAAAAAACAATCGATCACTACCTGCAGCAATTTCTCATTTTCAGCTAGCATTCAATGATTGGAGAACTGAAAACCAATCTTTTGATCCCAGACTCTTCTGTATTTGAAAATGTGTGAATATAATAGAAGGGTCTGGTTGGTGGTTTGAATGCATAATGCAACAGAAAGTTTCTTTGAGTGGTATATACAAAATATTACATTAAGGACTAAGGAACATCTTCTAATATCATCCAGTTGATTCGATTGTACACTTTATATTGAATGTATTACATGCGTATTGACTGAGTTGTGGGGAGTGCCTTATATGACAAATATTTAAAGCCAAGATATGGGATCTCATATCTACTTATGTAATGTAAATCTTGCCTCTCAGCAAGAAGGTCCTGGGTTCGAATCCCGGTCGGACCAGGGCCTTTCTGAGTGGAGTTTGCATGTTCTCCCCGTGTCTGCGTAGGTTTCCTCCGGGTACTCCGGTTTCCCCTACCACTAAAAACATGTCCAATAGTTCTGGCATGCGCCTCCTGTACTGGCGACCCCGCTCCCATCTCTGTGTGGAGTGAGAGACAAATGCCCAAAAATTAACAATTGTAAACCGCTTTGAGACTCAGATCTGCAGTGAAAAGGCGGTATATAAATAAAAAAACTTACTAAACTAATTTAGCATGAACACTCTCAAAATAAACAGTTTGACTAACATTTGTTACGCTTCTACTGGCTACACTCTGCTGTAAGTGCCTGGTATTCATTTATATTTGGCAGATTTCTCCCTCCTTAATAACATATATTTTAGAACAAATATATGCCTCAGAGAAAGCAGGGCCTTTCACACACTGACCACATACTGCACAAAGACTACAGCCAAAATAACAGAAATCACATAACTTTAAGGACAAAGGATACATATTATAAATAACTAATATGTCTTACTATAGCCAACTCTAGATCGACCAATGCTCAGATCAACTCAAATCAGATTTTAGAACATCTATTGTAACTTCACGATGCACAAACAACATAATTCTGTCACTATCATTGTTTATATATATTCTTCTATTAAAGCCTTCCTGCAGAATTGTTATTTTTTTGTGCCCATCAGAAAGATCCAGAAGTTTAAGCAGATACTGACATTCTTTTCAGTTGCATTTTGAAGTATTTTGAAGCTGCAGCTGTTCAACCAGCTTACGTCACAAAATCAGGCAAGAAGCAGCACAACAGTCCTCCCAGACTGTTATGAAAATGTCTCACACAGAAGTGTTGTCTTGAAGATTCACAGCATATATTTTAAACATGTAATTAAACCAAAATATTACACATTGCTTGTTCCAAGATAAAGTCTTGTACAAGTAAAATTGTGGGACAAAGTCAGACCACAACATGCTGTTTTTATCTTAATATAAAACCTTTGATCTTATTCATACTTGGGTCAGTATTTGACAAATCGATTTTTGCTGAAAAGTTGTATATCTCACATAATCAACCTCTCGGAATTTTATTAATTTTTTGTTTAAGAAAACCTGAAGTGGCAAGCTCAACACACAGCCTTAAGAATAGTTCAAACGTGTTGGCGTGAACACACTAACATTTACTGCAAGTCAGAGTCTGTTTTCTATTCTTCTGCAGATTCTGCACAGCAAAACGTTCCCATTAAATGTTTCTGCTGGTTCTAGGTCTTGTCCAAGTGCTCCGACTTCTCCCTCTAAAAACATGTCATCATCTTTGAGCTGGCAGGGACGAGGAACATAGAAACACGCTGACGCACGTTCAACCCAAAAAGGGGAGTTTAAATGAACATGATTATGATTTAGCCAATCCCAAGTCTATGAAGCGCCACATCTGTGAGTGTCTGGCGCCTCTGACAGTTTGCACAGGTGGAGGCTGGGTCAAATGCAGGAGAGAGATATGTTATACTTTGATTTGATAGGCTTATGATTAGGAATGCACCGATACGATACTGGCATCAGTATGGATCGGGGATCAGTTTGATGACACGTCTTGAGTAAGCTTTTATTTGGATGTAATAAGTCTGCTCACCGGCTGGTTTTAGCCCAGAATGTGAAATACAGTAGATTTAGTCATAGTTTAAAACACAATTGGACTGATTTGAAATAAGTTTGCTGAGATTTAAGTAAGTAAGTAACCTTTATTTATAGAGCACCTTTCACAAAATGAGAGTCCAAAGCACTTGGAGGGGAGTAAAATGCTACAGGCCTGTCATTGGTACTTGTTCATATTGGGTATCAGCAATATTTAAACCAATCAGTATCAAACTTGAAAAAGCAGGGTCAGTGCATCTTGATTAACAATACTCATAAACACTTAACGTCCTGATCACTTGCTCATTGCTGGAACTTGAGGTGAGGACAGATATTTGACAGAGTACACGTGAGACGCATGTGATGTGTCGGGACTTGTACGTGTGTTCAACGTTGTGTGACTTGACTTCAGGCTCAATCCAATGTTGTGTACACCAAAGTCTCATTATTTACTGCCTGCAAGAACAAAACACAGTCTTTCGATTGAAGAATTTACCTTCATAACACCGTGCCTGAGGAGACACAGTAATTAATGATTACAGGAGCATGTGATTTGTCTTTCGCGTATAGATTCCTCAACACCACAACTTGCAGGGCATTTTTTACTGGTGACAACACAGTGCAAGCGATAAGAAAATTATAGTAGAATTTAGGATACTGTTGATGAAAGAAGTCTTGCCCAAAGCTAATAAGGCATGAATCAAACAACTATCACAATGTTGTACTACAAAGAAAAAAGCAATTCAATGAGCTTAGTAACATTATTGAAGGTAAATGCAGGTCTTTCTGTTTTTTAATAAAATTGGCCTCTTTGACAAATGTGAATCAGAAACCCAATAAAGTTAAGTCTTACATATTTATTACGCGGCTCCTCACAGCAGCAGTGGAACGCTCCATTGATTTGAATGTAATTTAAAAAAGTTCTACCGGTCATTATTTCTTATAACGGACCTCTCAAAACAAAAAGGACCGCTGCCCATGGCAACGCACTCTCTGCTTGTAATTCAGGTGTATAGATTACTCTGCAAGTAGTTCAGGCCACTCCGGAGCTGGCCACGCTCAATAAACGCAAATACCAATCAATCAACACAATTAAATGTTAATCGGAGAATACATTATACATATACAGTCTTAAAGTGAGTGTCTGCAGTTTGTCAGAAAGAGAGACAGAGAGGTACTTGATTTGAAAAAAACCAGGCAAGCTCCTTCCCCCTTCCTTTCTGATTGGTCTACACCTATGTTTCCGTAACACATTTAAATGTTAATGGGAGAACACATTATACATATACATTATTAATACACATGCACAGAGGTTTTCAGAATTATTTGTTAAAGTTTTTATGAAAAAAATAATGTTTTAATGCACACAAAAAACGATCGCGGCAAACCCGGAAGTGCTATTATTATGAATTGAACATTGTAGGACACATCTGCAGAGGATCTGATTATGGATATAGGTTCAGTATATACATAAGTACCTCAGCGCAGATGTTCAGAATTCTTTGTTCAGTTTTCATGTAGTTTCAGAGCCTGATGGAGGCTTGTTTCGGAGACTCCGCAAAAACAAACAACTGAGCATGCGCGCAGCTACGAGCATGCGCGCAGCTACGAGCATGCGCGCAGCTACGAGCATCAGCGCGATGATTGACAGACCTTGGCATCACTTTGACGTTAACGTGGACGGCATCGTGGATTCTGAACTATAGCTAAGAGAAGGGAAGGCGGGACTTTCCCATAATAATAGAATTAATAAAATGATTTAACATTTAAGCCCAGGAGGTCAATTTAATGCAATTCTTAAAATTTGTAACTTATTTAGAGTTACAGACTATCACTTTAATACAAGTGCACGGAGGATTTCAGAATTTTCTGTTAAGGTTTTCATGACAAAAATACTAATTTAATGCAAGAAAAAGCAATTGGACATTGGAACATTTGCAGAGGCTCGAATTATGGATTTAGGTTAGGTTTATGTTTGGGTCACTCACCGCTGATGTTCCGAATTCTTTGTTCAGTTTTCATGCAGCCCGTGGAATATCTGTGAGCAAAGACACGCTGCAAAGCTGCATATTGGAGAAGATCTGTAAACAAGAAGCCGCTAGCATAGCTCTGTTAGCATTAGAGCGGGCCGGCTACTTCCGGTAATTCCGGCTCGCGTCAGGACGTTCTGGTGTGAAGTCCTCTGCGTCTGAAAACTAGAGAATGCGCGTTTTCATATTATTAAACGGAATTTCCGCATCGGCGAACACACTCGAAGCCGTTGCATAAGGTCACGGGAGCATGACAACGCATATTTTCACAAGCACGCTGTCCCCCATTGTCAACCCTGGTTTGAGTTCTGGTGAAGTCTGGTGTGGGTCCTGTTTTGGCTGTTTACGAGTATTTTCAGTCTGCTCGCTCAGTCTGCTAATGTCCCCGTGACCACTTTGCTGCTCTCTGATTGGTTGTCGCACGAACGTCCCAAGGAAAGGATGAGCAGAATCCATCTCCTGTGGGCGTTGATTTTTTGCTCCTGCTCCTCCCTTTTCACTTTCCCGCCAAGTCCGTGCGTCATTATTGAACAGTCCGTTTGTGCGTGCCGAGAGGTCCGTGCGTTGTGACGGACGAACGTGCGCCACCATAGACTTTGCATTGAAACCCGACGCAACGCATGATCCGGTCTGAAAGCACCATAACTGTTACTCGCATAGCCACGGGAATGCCTTGGGCATTCCTAAGAGGCCTGAAGTTTATTTTGTGTGTTCTGTTGGTACAAAGCCGTATAATAAGCGAGAGAATGTATAGTACACAGGTCATTATCGGAAAATAAGTACCTTCAGGGCGGAAGGGCCTGTCGGTACTTTCCGATGACCTGTGTACGATACATTATCCCTTACTTAAATCAATGATGAATACTTGCACTCAACATTAAATCCCCAGTGCTATATTTCAGTTCTTTATTTTGGATTCAACGGCCGTTCAACATGAAAAAAGCGTTATTGTTTTGCAGTGAAGCTAAAAACCAACAGGACGCACTTCCTGTTGGACCATCAGCTATGACGGTCGCACAGTAGAGAGCTCCCGATAGAACCCGTGAAATTGGACCAAAAGCCCCCTTTACATTGAAGATATTGTAAGAGCTTAACTTAACAAGACACTACCGTGAACATTTAATTTGTTCCTGAGGCGTCTTGAGCAGTGAAATATAGTTTTATCCTCGACGGTCAAGGCTAACTTGCACCCAATAGCATTTAGCAAAAGATGGCAGACGCAGAGATTTTGCAAGAACTGAAGCTATTTCGCCAGGAAAACAGACAGCAATTTGACGACCTAAGAAGTGACTTCGGGTCTCCATAACAGGCTGGGAGAGGCCGAAGATCGGATCGAAAAGGCCGAAGAGCGGATACAAGCCTCAGAGGAAGCAACACTGGAGATGCTAAAGCTACACGTGAAGCTAGATGAGAAGCTAACGGAAATGGAGAGTCACAGCAGACGCGATAATCTACGGATTTGTGGAGTAGCCGAAGAGTCCGAAAGAGACTCCGTTAACATGCTGTCTTTTGTGAACAAACTTCTTCACGAGGGCCTGCAACTGTCTGAAGAAATGCCCGACTTACAAATTCAGCGGGCTCATCGCTCACTAGGCCCTCAACCAACAGCTGGCGCACCGCCTCGCTCTATTGTGGTCAGGTTTTTGAGCTTTACGGTGAAAGAGATGCTGCTACACAAAGCGTGGCAAACAAAAGGATTCAAGTGGAAAGACAATCATGTAAACCTCGATCATGATTATCCGCCGTCCATCATTGCTAAACGGAAGGAATATGCTGAAATTCGGAAAGTTTTGAAAGCTAATAATGTGAAGTTTCAAACGCTGTTCCCCGCGAGGCTACGCGTGAAGCACGAGGATGGACCCAAAACATACGATACACAGACTGAAGCAGCCAAAGACCTTGTGAACAGAGGCTACGTGATTACAACAATGCCAGCACCACCACCGGCGTCATTGACTGAGCGGATAAAGCAGCTGTCCTGGACCCGAGTGAATCGGCGCGCTACGAAGGCTACACGCGACCCCACTCGAGACGCCAGTTACAAGGAGAAGCTTCGCACATTCCGGAGGACCACTCCAGGCGCAACAGCGGACTAAGTTGGAGCAAAGTGATGGGGATAACCTCCAAGTGATGTTTGTTATTATTAAGATGAGGTGGTGAGTAGTTTGGGAATTTTGATTAGACGGGTTCTGTAGGTAGAGCTTTCAAGATGCTGTGGGCCAACAAGGACACCCTTCACTGAACCCAGTTGAAGGGTTTTTGCCTCAGAGCGCCCCCTTGGGCCTATTAGGGTCTAAACGTTAGACCCCTACTTAGGAAGTCACCTTTTTGTTTTTTTTTGTACATTTTATGTCGTTTTGTATGTTCACATTATGCATATGTTTTTTTGTTCGTTTTACTCTGCTGTTCTGCGCAGAGATGGGAAGAGTGCCATGTCTATTTGTTTGGTTAACCTTGATGCAGACACATGTCAGATAGACCCGTAAAACTTGTATAAAACATAAATGGCATACTTAATCCAATTAAGAGGTCCAAAATGTTATCTCAATTGAAAAGGGATAAGGTCCAGATAGCATACATACAAGAATCCCACCTTAGTGATAATGAACATGCTAAATTAAACAAGATGGGGTACACGAAAGTATATTTCTCCTCACATGACTCGGGGAGACGTAGAGGAGTGGCGATTTTGTTTTTTCGAATTTCGAATTCATATCTGAACACAAAGATAAAGAGGGGAGGTATATTATGGTAATTGGTAAAATTGAGGGAACCTTTGAGTTTGTTTAACGTTTATATCCCACCAGGCAGTGACTGGTCATTTTATAAACATGTACTTGAAACAATGACAACAAAGAGTCAGGGCGTTTTGATATGCGGGGGGGATTTTAACATTAGATTAAATCCGAAAAATGACAGTTCAAATGGCAAACCCGATAGCAAAAAAATGTATAAAAAAGTAAATAATTTCATGAAAGAAGTGGGATTAGTAGACGTATGGAGGGAAAATAACATGACAAGGCGTGACTACACTCACTATTCTGGGGCGCACAATGTTTACTCCAGAATAGACTTATTCTTGATGTTTAAAAACGATATGTTTCGACTGATAAAGTGTGACATAGGAACAAGCGTACTCTCAGACCATAATCCGGTATTTTTGGCCCTTAACCTTAATAGTAAAATAAAATCTACTCTATGGAGATTAAATGCGAATATTCTGAATGACAAGGAAATCGTGAATAAATTGAAACTTGAAATTGAATCCTATCTGGAGTACAATGACAACGACGCAGTCTCACCAGTTATATTATGGGATGCGTTAAAAGCAGTGCTTCGAGGGAAAATTATAGCAATTTCTTCTACTGTAAAGAAACTGAAAAAAAAAAGATTACTAGATCTCGAGAATAAACTTACAGAATTACAGAAGGAACATTCATCTTTTCTACAGGACTCAGTAAAATTAAAAATGCTGGAAGTCAAGAAGGAGATAAATGAAATAAACACACAGGACATTCAAAAAAAGCTTCTTTTTACAAAACAACAATACTATGATACTGGTGGGAAAGCTCTTAAACTTTTGTCAAATAGATTAAGGAAACAACAGGCAGAGAGAACAATTTTCAAAATTAAACATCCCCAAACAAACCAAATTGAAACTAACCCAGAAAAAATACAGCAATGTTTTGAGGAGTATTATCAGAAACTATATTCTCAGCCTCAATTAAGAAGTGGTATTGAAATTGATTCATTTTTATCTTCACTAAATTTACCTCAAGTCACAAACGACCAAAATAAGAAGCTAATCTCAAAAATTACTCAGGAAGAAATTGTATCCGCAATTAAGAGATTAAAAAACGGAAAAGCCCCCGGTGCAGACGGATTCAATTCCGAATGGTATAAACTCATGCAAGAACACTTGGTACCGACATTAACGAAAGCATTTAACTCAGTACTTGAAAAAAAGACTATTCCTCCATCTTGGAGAGAGGCGATTATTTCTATCATCCCCAAAGAAAATAAAGACAAACTTGACTGTGGAAACTATCGCCCCGTGACAAAAAATGACATACATCCAATTTTCAATGTTGTTAATTATTCAAAATAAGAATGTATCAGGTTGTAGAAATCAAATTAAGCAGGGCAAATGACCAATGTTTTATGATTACATGATACATGACATCATATGGTCATTGATATCATATGAAGGAGCCTAAAGTAAGTCAGCTGTCTAAATACGAAGTCTATGGTGTGATCTGCAGGAGAAACACAATCCTCTTGCACCATTTTTTATTAAAACATAGCACAAATCACACACAGCGAGCTTATTGCATCACACAGACACAAAAATACACTAAATTATAACTAAGTATATACATTGTAATCAGGTCTGTGTAAATGTCTTCACATAGCCAGACCAAACAATAAATCAGAGAAGAAATGTGTATTTAGAACAACAAGTCTGCACTTGCTAAAAAAACTATGCTGTTATAGTTTGTGTACAATATGCATGCATACTATATGCACAAATATTTTACCTGGTTAAGTATGGAGTCAATAAATTGTACACACAAGACTATCCATTATTGTTACTTATTGAATTTGCAGTTTACATGTAGCAATTGTACTTTCATTTTTTGAGTACTTACTTGTTATTTTTAGGTACAAACAAAATTGAATACAATCGTTTCTGCTTTAAATCAATATTTATATTCATAATTCCAGGTGTCTCAAGGTGAAAATTTATTTGGCTGGTGGGTGCTATAATATATATTTTTTATCATTGTAATGCTATATTATCTGGTAGAGATGAGATTAGACTTTAAATTGTTATATAAAGTCTAATAAACATCAGTATGTTACCGCATTGTGTGTAAAAATGTATGAATGCACATTGATCCTCCTAGTTTTTTCAAGCTCTGACTCTGTATCATGACACCAAAAGAATGAAGATGTTAGTGGAATAGTGGTTTGATGGTATCTTTAGTGTGTCTTGTGTGAAACGTCTAAAAAACCTTAAATTATTCTCATTACAGTATTTCCTTAGAAACAAAACACTTTCCTAGATTGAACCTTGGTAAAGTGGTGACTTTCTGTGCGTCATCATAGCTGGTGCAAAACATGACGTAATTTGTTCAGAATAAAATGTAGGCTAAATTTACTCTTTTCACCTCGCAGCAGGAAAAGTTAGACTTGCATGTGCCACACAGAGTCCCGATTGTTGTTCACGCTCAATGTAACAGTCGTTGAACATAGAATTTGTATTTCGTGTCAATGAGGCTCAAGGGAGGGGGAGAGCAGGGAGGTTGTTACTGGAGGCTGTCCATGGCTCTGTCCTGCTGCAGCTGTGAAAACCTCCACAAATCTGAGCACATCTGTGTGAATGAGGCGCCGACAGAGCTACGACGTCACTGCTGCTGTCACCGCTGGACCCCACCATGCAGCTGTCACACTTCAGTCTGCCAAAGTACCACACTGGTACAGGATCAGGGAGGATCTTAACCACAAGATTTATGTTGACAAAAAGGTTCTTCACATAACAGAAGAACTCCATGCCTATGCGGTTTTGATTGCCTAACCACAACAAACCATTCATCCAGAATACATTCTCTTCCCAGGGCATGACATGTAGCTATGTTGACATTATGAGACCTGCTCTCTGACCTGGTAAAGTGAAGAGAAAGCACGCACATCTAAAGTTTCACCCTGACTCAAAAATGAAACAATATTAAAAGAGAAGTTCTGCTCACGCTCTCTGACCTGCTCATGAGAGGTGATGTGTTCCTGTATCTCCGCCCTACACTGATGAGTCATTCTTTTGTGGAAGTCATGAGAGCTTTGTGTGTTGTGATTGTCCGTCTCTCAGGTAGACTGAACACGTCCATAGTAAAAGGGCCTGGTTAGTACTGTGATAGGAGACCTATGGGGACAACAGGTGCCACAGTGGGGAGGCTGCAGCTGTAAAGTGCCAGACTGTTGTTGTGTCCTAATGCAAGACACTTCACCCACATTGCCTAGAATGAGTCTGGTGTGTGTGTGAATGCTTGGTGGCAGTCGGCAGGGCCGAAGGGCCGATGGCACATAGTGGTTGCCTCGCTTTTGTCAGTGTGCCCCAGGGCAGTTGTGGCTACAGTTGTAGTTTACCACTACCGTGTATAGAGTGAAAGAATATATGACATGTGAAGCATCTTTGAGTGTCCTGAAAAGTGCTATATAAAACTGATGCATTATTATTAATATTATAGTGTTTGCCGATTTGAACATAAGCTAACTAGAGCCAGTTTCTGAAAGTGTTTGCATTGCACAGTAACAGGGGAAAACGTGTTGCTATTATGGTTGCTAAGGCAAGCTGGTGTTTCCCCGTGAATAAAGGCATTTGATTGGTCAATCCTTATGGTTCTTCTTATACACGGACTTATAAAAATACTACCAAAATTAAACCACCAAAATCATAGAGCGCCCAAAATCTGTGTGTGACACAAATGGTTACTGTGATCGAGGAATTTACTTTTCAATGTAAGTCGAATAGAGCCTCAGTAAGTTGGAGCAAAACTTTGACCGTGAGCATTTCTTTATTGGGCTTCATTAAGCTAGAGAGTTAGCACTGTCTGTCTATATACAACCTACGCGTGCAGAGGACACCTGTATACTTACAGTCCCAAATGTTCTGAATTGGTCACCCTTGTAGGACTATGACTTGGGAATGAGAAAAACCTCCAACCCCTGACACGACAGCTGCCATTGTGCAGCAGTTAATTCAAAACAATTAACACAGCACCACCAAAGAAGTTGCTGGTTAGATTCTGCCAGACTAGATTCTGGTGACTTCCTGTATCCGGTGAGCGTGTTTCTTGACTGCTATCACTCTGCTCTCTGTTTGCACTAACAAACACATTACAAATCCACGTATTGTACACCAAGCTAACTGTGTAAGCACTCCGAGTCAGCTGTACTGCAGCTGAGGTTTAGGTAGCGGTTGTTTGTCTGGTCTCGGAGTCTGTTGTGCGGGCCCGGATCCGTACTAGCTTAGCCTAGCCTAGCTTAGCCTAGCCTAGCCGCCAACTCGCTACTATGGCGGCTGCTGTCTCTCCCTCAA